ACCCCCTCCCGAAGGCGACCTCCCGTCTTAAAGACCCGAACCCCGTGCAGCCAGGCCTCCTCTCGCAGGGCAACCGGGGCGCGATGGGACCGGCCAAGCGGGCGACAGCTCATTCGAAACCGGATTTTGGATGATTTTGGAGCCAACTGAATCAACTGATATATAGGTGTGCTACCAAATTGAATTACCCAATTCGAAACCGGATTTCGGAGCCTTCCAGAATTGATGGATTTCTTGATCGTCCGCTAATATAGAATGATGCTTTCAGCCCAGTACGGCCCCGCACCTCCCCCACCTCCCGCACCTCCCCGAACCGGCTGCGTACACCGCTCCGCGCCCCGCCCCGTACGTACCTCCCCGTCCCGCCCCGTACGGCCCCGACCGCCCAGTACCGCCACACCAACCCCGTTCAACAATATGTGGTTCTAACTTGCCGGGGCACAAAGTTAGAACCACGTGCCGTGTACCGCCCAGTACCGCCCGTACCGGCCCGCCCCGTACGGCGCACCACCTGCACATACCGCCCCGTACCGCCCCGTGCACCGCGCTCCGCCCCGTACCGCACCGCCCCGTACCGCCAGCGAGAAAGTTAGAACCACCCTGTACCGGCCCGCATGGCAGACCACACCCGTACCGCCACACCGTCCTGTATACCACCCTGTACCGCCCCGTGTATAGGCTGCATGCGCGTTGACGCTGTGCCGTCCCGCATCTGCTCACAGCGGCACGGCAGTGGGCGCAGCACATGGGCAGCACGTCGGCGGTACGGGCTGTTTATTATACGCGGTACGCCTTGAATTAATGAGCATGTCTTGGTGCGGGGCGGTACGGATGTGGTACTCTGTGGTATATGGAGGGTGGTTCTAACTTCCCTGGGGTGGTTCTAACTTGGCCCCCGAGCGAAAACGACAAATCTGGTTCTAACTTCGCGCTCGGAACTTCCTGCGGGGGGACTGGTGCCCGAGGTTTTGGATCTGGGTGGTTCTAACTTGCCGTCCGGGAGTGTAAAGAAAAATAAAATAGACTAAAGAAAAATAAAACAAAAAATACAAATACAAAATCAAAAACTAAAGAAAAATAAAAACAAAAAAACAAAATAAATAAATAAGATAAGTCGAACCTCTGGTTACTACAGTTATAACTTCACTAACCACTACTTACCACCACTTATAACCATGGTTACCGGATATACTTAAATACTGCAACTGAGACAAGTACTTAGCAAACACACGGCCCTCGAAATATTGAACGCTTCGAAACCAAGTTGATGATGACTCAAACTCAGCCACCCGATCGAGCGTGAAGCAGACTCTTACATAGACGTTGTTCATGGCAGTTCCTCTCACAAATGGTTGGGCCGTCAGTTGTCGATGGATGGTAACTTTAACCACAACTTTAACCACACCGCGGATCGGCCGCACGTGCTTCCTGGGGGAACAAAATGATTTTGCGCGACAGGCATGTCCCATTATATCGCTTCGCATCGAATTTGTCGAAGCCGTCGTGACGCCGGTGGCGTGTTTTGGTGCAGGGCATCGTAAAATATCCATCCCTCATCTCCGCAAGTTGGATTCACAGTGGCCACGATTGTTTAGAAGCATGGTTGGACCACTTTCGGGGCTTGACGGGTCTTTTCCTCGGCATGACGTCAACTGGACTCAACATGTCCAAAAATTGACTCCAAGCTTACAGTTGAAAAGCTGGTCTTGCAAATGCCTCCATTCCTATTGGAATTTAGCACACCATTTGACAACATTGTCAGCGGACTGGTGGGTTAAGCGTGCGATGAATGGCTCTCCAATCGGAGCACGAATATTTGGCAGACCTCGACACTCCTGGCAGATGTATCTCGAAGCTTTTGCACGTTTTTTCTGGATTTGACAGTTGGAATGAGTGCGTGAGCAATTTTTTCGATGTCACGGGTGATGAATTCTCGGATTTTGCACGGCGTCGAACACAATAGCCGTTCACAAACAGACTGTGTTCCGAATAAATCTGACGATGACGTGATGTCATGCTCAACCGCAGTTTGACACCGCGATACACTGTGTATAACCATGCACGTATAGTTGTAGCGTTGTGTTGCTTTGCCTGCTCCTCCCTGGCATGCAGGACTTGATTCGACTTGGCTTCAATTCACCGGAAACTTTTCCCACTTTGACTAACTTTTGATGGACCACTTCTTGAATTTACAATGCGCCAGCTCGATATGACACATCTAATGTAAAAGCCGACCAAAACCTTTGCAAGCCCGAAGCAATTAACCCTAAAGTCTTCAGCCTGCACCCGAAACCCTGAGCTTCAAACAAACCCCCTTGGACGTCTTCCAACATATAACTCAGCATATTCGTGTGATAATCGCGTATTTTCTGTTTTCTGTATCATATTTTCAAACCTGTACAGTATATAGTTTAATTATCTAAGTAGGTCAAAACTAGCTCCTGGCCGATGTTGGCGTCACAAGGCTGCTTGTTTAGCTCACCTCGTACCGTAGAAGGGGCTACCGGCTGCAGTATCGGCACAAGCTATACGATTTGATATCCTGACATGACAACATCGGGGGTCCAAGCGGCAAAATTCGAGGAAATCCCGCGTTGCACTCCTTGTGCTGTGTCGTCCCCTTGGTAACACATTTTGGCAACTGTTGACAAAATCGGGGGTCCAGGCGACAAATGTTGACGAAATCCTGCGTTGGAGGCGCCCTGATCACTGGTCGTCACACTCTTTGTTCTGCTGTGCCGCCCTGCCTAGCTCTCGTGGGAGGGTTTCGGGTTTTCGTGTGGACTGTTTCGGCCTCTCGTGGGGAGGGTTTCGGGCTCTGGTGGGTTTCGCCGGGGACTCGCAAAGAAGGCGTGCACTGCAAAAAGAGCTCGTGATGGCTACAAACGTTGGGGCTGAAGATTGGTGCAACAACACCAAAATTCACGGGCAGCTTAACACTCCTGAAATCCAGTCTCTCGTGGGGAAGGTTTCGGGCTCTCGTGGGAACGGTTTTGGGTTCTGTTTCTTTCGGTCACGATTATTTGATGCAAAGCAGCTCTGCCTTAGCCAAGGAAACCAACTACACGCATTCCAACTGCTCACAGATGGTGAAAATGCACACTCCAACTAGGGCGGGATTGTATAAAGTCAACCACCGTATGCATTTCCTCACCTGGGTTCTCCGCCAGGTCGAAGTCAGGGGTCAGGGGCCTACTCCTTTTGTTGTTGCAATTCCTTGACTTCTTCTTCGTGGAGGCATACAGTGTCGGTTGGACATCGCAGGCGCATCTCCAAGTCGCCCACTCTGAAGAGGCTGCTAATGCTCGAGCGGGAGCTTGAGGGGCGACGCGGCGACATGCTCGTCCGTTCTTCTACCTCCTCCGCCTCCGCCCCCTGTCACGCTCACTCCTGCGCTCACCCCGGCTCTCACTCTCACCCTGCCGGTCAGCACGATTGTCGAACTCTGGACGGCTTCGTTTGAGGACGGCTCGCGGCGCTGTGATCTTTACATGCCTTACATGCCATATGACTACCAGAAATCCCTGGACCCAACGTGGCAACGTGCTGTCGAGGCTTTCTGCACCAGCACGAGCGGTAAAGCGATGTGGATTTCTTCAGAGATCGGTGCATAGATGTGTTTCGCGTTCTGATGCCACGGCTTTGTGCATGCTAGCATAGCTGCTAGCACTCATCCACGTAAATTTGTGCACTCATTCATTCACTCCCTTAAACCCGTTCTGCATCCCTCCAATGAACCCCAGACCCTAAACCTGCAGAATCTCCGTGCCGAGCGCGGTTCAAGATGCGGTGTGTTGTGTCATCGAAACAGTGAAGAGTTCGTTGCCAAGTGTTTACAACACTTGCGACAATGTGGCTCAAGGAATCAAAAAACGTGAGTTCGAAACTCGAGTCGGTGTTCTAGTAATTAACAATTAATGAGTGTGATGGCGCTCTCCCCGACAATAGAGCCCGCTCTTCGTTTGCTGATATGCCTGCAGCCTGCCAGGTTACCAACAACAAAACCCTTAAACCCTAAACCTGAACCCCCAAACCCCAACTTTGAACCCTCCTTGGCACTCTCCTCGTTGTCCCGGTGCAGACCACCGAGAGCAGCCGTCCTTTTAGGTTGAGACTTTGAACTGACGTTTTCAAATGTTGCTACAGGGTTCAGGGTTACAAGATGTGTTTTTTGTTTTGTTTTTTTTATCGGTGCTTCCAAAAGTTTGTAAATGCTAAGAAGATAATGGCCTTACAGGGGGGGTTGAGGGCTTCAGCTTTAGTCGAGTCCGTTCGGAATCGCTTGCAATGGCTGCAATATCTGCGCCTCGGCGACGCACACCTGCATGAATGTCCCTCTCCTCGTTAAGGTTGCCAGCTGCGAATGTCAGCAATAAAGCCCTTGCCATCAAAGCCCCTGAAACACGAATTCATGAGAAGCCCTGGAAAACAAGGGAACGTCGAACCGAATACCACTAAACCCCGACATAACTCACCTAAGCCGCTGTAACACCTTACAGCACCCCATGAATCCCCTCATAAAAAAGATCCACCCTCGTCCTCGTGGGGTTGCAATGTTGCAGCCTGTCAGGGCGTTCTCGCAAGTTTGTTTTTGCGTCGCAGCCAACGGGAACTGGGTTTACGAGTTAGCTTGGAAGGGTTTGGGGGGGTTTAGGGTTGAAAAAGATGAGGCATCAGCAACGACTCAGCAAAGAGAAAGCATGATTTAAGACCTTGAAATTTACACTACCCTATAGCCCTAAGCGCCGAACTCCTAAACCTTGAGCTGCGGGTTTGGATGTGCAAGCGGCAGCCCGGAAGCATGCCTCCGTGCCAATTAACACAACATGCAGGGTCTGGGCTACCGGTGGACGGTGGACGTCACATGACAACAGCCGAGCTCGGTTTCAGATTGCAATCTCATTGGTGCTTCCGGCACGGACCGAATGCCGCTGTATGGCTCAAGGACATGGTGTCCCTGCTATTCTGCAGCGCCGACCAATAATGGAAAACGTTTTGCACTATGGAAAAAATGTCTGTGCGGTTTGGTTGCCCTGTGTCACTGCAGCAGCACGCTCCACCGGCAGAGTCATGCTGCCGCTTGGCACACCATCGCCGCGCACTGCAAGGCTTGTTTTCATGGTGGCCGGCAATGCGACAAGAAAGGTTTTGTTGCCACTTCTCTGCTTCGTGTCCAGAATCTCAATATTTATGATCCTAATTTCGTGCTGATTCAATATGTGGTAGAATCTGACCTTGGCCACTTTGCCATCAGCATCTTCTTCACTTCTGCAATCAACGTGCGTCTCGAACAAAAACACACAGTTTCTGCCTCCAAAATACCACATGTTGAGATTCCAACGATTGCCTCCTTGCGCGATCAGCACATCCTTGATCAGGTAGGTCCGGGAGGTCGGAGTGCCTTTTTTCACTCGCACCAGCAGCTCGCCTTTGAATGCGAAGTTGAGCTCATGTGGCAATTCGCCACAATCGTTTGTTGCAGCCCAGAGCATTTGGTTAGAGTACCATATGGCGACTTTGTTGGTCCTTTGGCGCCCGATCCTGAAGTGAAAAGTGCCATCGTTGCCGTCAAACGAACGCGTTTGGTTCACATCAATGTTCCCCTCTGGATCCTGGCCTTTCGAAATCTTGAAGGCACGGACGATGAACGCCAAACCATTCAGAGCGTGTTCTGGCTTTTGACCATGGGCCCAAAACCGAAGTTCGTTGTCGTGGTACGCGAATCTCGCAGAAGCGGCCACCAAGCCAAGGAAGATCACGGCCCTCATGGCGCCTCCAGGCCTACGACCTGTCCTACGCTGCGCAGCAGCATCACAACCACATTGACTCCAAAAAACTACGACATGAGCTAACAGAGCACTGCGTTTTTTTCACCTTCCCCGTGTGCATCGTTCTACGTATCACTATACCCGGGCCATTTAATTGGCACCGTTTTACCCATGAAGCATGCAACATGTCCTTCTGGTAAACGTCTGCGGTATACATCTGCAGCTTGTCGCTGGGTGGTGCAGAAGAAACATGCCCCGGCCTCCGCCTCCTCCTCCTCCTTCTCCGGAGCCGCACGGACGCGGCCACGAACCCCTGAGGACAGCTCTGCCTGGGACAACTGAAGAATGTTGAGCTTGGCATACGTGGCGAAGTGAGCCTGATCAAAAGGCCGAGTGGCCCAAAAAACCTGAACTCGATCCACATGCACCACCTGCACCGTTGTACTGGTTATCAGTCCATTGCTCTGTTTGTTGCTGCGGGTTCTGGCGAAAAAACACCAACAAAACAATGTCAACCTGTTAATCCAAAAACCATCCACAAACTCTCCCTCAATATAAACGCATCCGAAGTGTAGACGAGGGCTTGGGAGCTTCAGGATTCAAGATTGTCGGGCGTGGGCCGAATTTGCTCCTGGGAAGCGAAAAAACTAGAAGACAATTGGCCCGAAAGCATCATCAGCGAAGATTGTGGGGCTATGTGATAGATCCAGTGTATAGGATCGTAAAGTCACAGAGTCAAGAGTCATAGAGTCCATGAGTCATGAGTTATAAAGTCATAGAGTTGCAGTGAGATAGCGTCATAGACCATAGTGAGATAGAGTCACAGAGTCATGGAGTGATCTATGTACCATGCACTTGACTCGATGTAGTTCACTCTATGCTCTACGTGTGGGAACGCTTAATGGAGATCCCCATAGCGTGAGGGCTCATACCCTGACCTGGACCTCGATCGTGTCGCGAGCCTCAGGTAACAACAGAACCATCGGCCTTAATAGCAGCAAAAGAAGATCGTCCCGCTTGAATCTGCCGCACGTTCTTCAGCTGATTTTGCATAGCGGGCTCAATGCCGCCTCCAAAGATGCTAAGTCTTGCAACACACACACACAGATGTTTTGCCAGCAATGCAGGGCTCATAGCCTGACCTGGACCTCGAGAGGCACATACAGTCAAGAGTCATAGAGTCCATGAGTCATGAGTCATAAAGTCATAGAGTTACAGTGAGATAGCGTCATAGAGTCATAGTGAGATAGAGTCACAGAGTCATGGAGTCATCTATGTACCATGCACCAAAATGTGTAACTTCACCTCGCGCTCGAACCCTCGACAACGCCAATCTGTGTGAAGGGTTGCAAAATTCATCTCAATGCTCATCAAAAAATGCAACTTTACCTCGCGTTCGAACACTCGACCACGCCAATCCCTGTGAGGGGTTGCAAAATTCATCTCAATGCTCATCAAAAATTGCAACTTTACCTCGCGTTCGAACACTCCACCACGCCAATCCCTGTGAAGGGTTGGAAAATTCAGCTCAATGCACATCAAAAAATGCAACTTTACCTCGCGTTCGAACACTCGACCACGCCAATCCCTGTGAAGGGTTGCAAAATTCATCTCAATGCACATAAAAAAATGCAACTTTACCTCGCGTTCGTGCATTCGACCATGCCAATCCCTGTGAAGGGTTGCCAATTCATCTCAATGCACATAAAATAATCATCTCAATGCTCGTCAAAAAATGCAACTTTACCTCGCGTTCGTGCATTCGACCACGCCAATCCCTGTGAAGGGTTGCAAAATGCCAATCCCTGTGAAGGGTTGCAAAAAAAAATGAACTGCACCCAAACCCTGTGAAGGGTTGCGCGGCGCCCGCAAAATGTGTAACTTTACCTCGCGTTTGAACGCCCGAGGAAGCGAATCCCTGTGACGGGTTGCGCGGCGCCCGCACAATGTGTAACTTTACCTCGCGTTTGAACGGTTGAGGAGGCGAATCCCTGTGAAGGGTTGCGCTGGGCGCCTATTAAGTTAAAAAAAATGTGTAACTTTACCTCGCGTTTGAACGCGCGAGGAAGCGAATCCCTGTGAAAGGTTGCGCGGCGCCCGCACAATGTGTAACTTTACCTCGCGTTTGAACGCCCGAGGAGGCGAATCCCTGTGAAGGGTTGCGCCGGAACCCTAAAATGTGTAACTTTACCTCGCGTTTGAACGCCCGAGGAGGCGAATCCCTGTGAAGGGTTGCGCCGGAACCCTAAAATGTGTAACTTTACCTCGCGTTTGAACGCCCGAGGAGGCGAATCCCTGTGAAGGGCTGCGCTGGGCGCCTATTAAGTTAAAAAATGTGTAACTTTACCTCGCGTTTGAACACCCGAGGAGGCGAATCCCTGTGAAGGGTTCACCCGCGCGCCTAAAATGTGTAACTTTACCTCGCGTTTGAACGCCCGAGGAGGCGAATCCCTGTGAAGGGTTGCATTCCCGATGGACGCTGACGGTGCCACCCCCGGCTTTAAAAGAGTAATTATTAAGTAAGTTAGTAAGTTAGTAAGTCAGTAAGTATAAGTTAGTAAGTAAAGTTAGTAAGTAAAAGTAAGTCGTAAGTAAGTAAGTAAGTATCGTAAGTAAGTATCGTAAGTAAGTATCGTAAGTAAGTAAGTAAGGTAATAAGGTAAGTAAGTAAAGTCAAAAGTAAAGTAAAGTCAATAAGTTAAGTAAGTAAGTTAAGTAAGTCAGTTAAGTAAGTAAGTTAAGTGTGTAAGTTAAGTGTGTAAGTTAAGTAAGTTCAGTAAGTCAGCAAGTAAGTCAGTAAGACAAGTAAGTCACTAAGTAAGTTAGGTAAGTAAGTAAGTCAGTGAGTCAATCAGTAAGTAAGTAAGTCAGTATAGCATACAGTCAAGTAAGTTCTATGTCTGTCATCTATGTACTCATCTGGGCGGCTCCGCCCGGAAGAACCCTTCGCGATGCTTTCGGGAAAAAGGCAAGCATACCCTATTTTCTCAAATAAGACCCTAAAGTCCTAGAGGATCTCGAAAACTGCTGGTTTTTTCCATAACCTCCTTACATCCATTGGGTTCGTTATGTATTCCGATTTCGATCGAGATACTCCTATATTGACTCCATGTAAATCTTGGAAAAACGATCGATGCCCAGACCCTGAAAACACCCCACCGGTGCAACCTCCCATGCCGCCCCGTCTCACGCCCCCCCACCGGCGGAACCAGGCCGCACCCGCGACCAAGGCAACGGCGCTCAGGGGGCTGCTGGACTTTCGCCGCTACAGGGAATACAGCCAAGCCCAAACAAAAGCCCTTCACAGAGATTACGCCATGTTGCCTTGTCCCATGCAGCATTCAGGCCGCGTTGAGCAACGGCCAGAATCCTAAACCCACCCCCGAAAGCCTCAAACAAAACTCCCAAATCCCGACCTGAAAAGCTTGACCGTCTTGACCCTTCCGAACCCACCCCTCCAAAAAACATCCTCCAATAGAGAAAGCATTTAGTAGGGCCATCAACTAGTTAGTGGCGGGTGCTTGGCGGGTTTAACCCCGAAAAAACTACATCGAAGCTGCGATGCCTGACCCTCGAACCTGCAGCCAAAACCAAAAACGTCCGAAATGCAAAAACAAAACTAAACTCGAATTCGCTTCACCCCTCACCCAAACCCTAAACCCCGAACCCTAAGTCAGTTAAACTGTAAGACCCTGAGCGTTCACGCTTTTCCTGCTTAAGCCAAAGGCGCTGCATAGTCATTCTATACATTTCATATGCCGTAGCCCAGGCTCACCAAAGGTGTGGGCGTTCTATGTACAAAACTTAACACCCTGCCTCGAAGTCCTTGTGCTGTACTCGCGTAGCGGTCCGCGGTCGGGCATACCTCCGCCCTGACTGCATAGGCTTTGCCTTTGCAAGTCCTGGGTTAAACACTCCGTGCAACCCACCTTTTTACCATCCCCCAATTAGGGAGGTGTGTCAGACCGTCCATATTCTGACATTCGTACAGTAACAAGTACTTCGTCCAAGTGAAACTACTTACACAAAGTTCCTGCGTCAGCGCTCTTCCTTCTTTTGCGCTTCTGCCGTTGTGTTCCGAGGTGAAACTTTTTCTGTCTTGCCTACACTGACTGCTTGGTCTCATACTCGATCACGCGGTAGGGCTTAATGACTTCCGGTCAACGTACGCATTTCTGTACTATCTGGTGTACCAGGATCCACTTCCTGTTCCTTGTCAAACAGGCTTTCCTCTTCTCCCTGGGCACGCTCGCAGTACGCTTCGTAGGATTCCTGGCACGCTTCTGGCATTACCATGTTTCCCATTTCTTCCATGGTTACCATCTTTCCGCGAAACTCGATCATCTCTGAATCCTCCGTGGTTCTTCCAGAGGTGATTCTTCCACCACGTCGGTAGTCTTCCTCACTTATGATGGGCATACGGACTCCATCCGTGTGTACAATCTCCGGTTTCCCATCGCTGCTCTTCCGCGGTTCCTCAACGTTCCTTTTCCAGTGCCACTTTCAGTGTCACTTCGCTGCACTCCGGTGTTCCATTCGTGCATTTGCTCTCCTGATCCACGAGGTTCATCCGATCCTTTTCCAGTAGATTCTTCCACTTCTCTCGTGCGATCATAACTCTGTCTCCATTGTGCAGACGCATATTCAGCAATACACGGTGTACAGGCGCATCGCTGGTGACCCTTTTTCTCGCATGTACACTTCCTTACTCCGCACCAGTGACATTTCTTCATACATCCTCCAGTGGATTCCACTATATACTCCAGATCCATAACTTCCCAGTCGCTATCATCCGGGATTGGTGGTTCTACACGTCCACGTCTCTTTCGTGTACCACCTTCTGGTTTCGTCTCCGGGTAGCATATCCAGCAATGGCGAAATCCTTCTGCCAATGCCTGTTCCTCGTACTTCCAGATCCATTGACCAGAACGTACATGATCTCCCTGCACATGCCAACACGTCGGCTTATGGAATACTCTCGACTTCGACCCTGTCGAAAT